AAATTTCATTATTCATATATTCCATTTGCAATCCAAAGTAAAATTTTGTTCTTCCCAAATCTTTCATTTCAAATTCTTTCTTTAAGCAATTTATAGCTTTTGAAAGCTCTTCAGGTGTTTCAATGGTATTTATGTCATCAACATAAACTGCAATTATAGTAATCTCTTTTCCAAATCTTTTTATAAATATACAAGGACAAATTGGATCATTTTTATATGCTTCTTTCAACAGATATTCACTAAGTTGATTATACCACATACGTCGTGATTGTTTCAATCCATATAAGGATTTATTTAAATTGATCGAATAATTTTCTTATGAACTTGAATTGTATGCTTCTAGCAATTTGAATTCGTTAGGGAGTTTCATGTAAATGTTACTATTGAGTGAACCATACAAATAAGCTATAACAACATCCATTAGACACAAATCGAGTCCTTCACCTATTACCAAGCTAATTCAATATTGAAAAGTAGTTGCATCCACCACTGGTAATATGTTTCAATAAAATCAATTCCAAGCCTTTGTGTAAATTCTTAAGCCACAAGCCGTGCTTTATATCTTAAAATTTCACCATTTTCATTTCTTTTTCGCACAAAAATCAATTTATATCCAACCGGCTTGACACCTTCAGGTGTATGGACTACAGGTCCAAAAACATTTTGCTTTTTAAGTGATTTTCATTCTGCCTCAATTGCATCTTCTCATTTTGATCAATCCTCTCTTTGTTTGCATTCCTTAATGTATTTCGGTTCATAATCCTCATTATCATTTATTACATCAAGCACTATATTATATGCAAAAATATTGTTAACGTTAGTTTCATTTTGGTCCCATCGTATTCCTTTCATAACATAATTTATTGAGATCTCATTATTTTCACACATTTTAAGTACCTGAGTTTCTTTTGAAATTGAAATATTAGTAGTATCAAGTAACTCTTTGTGAATTATTTACTCTTCTTGATTATCCTTGATTTGACTATCTTTATTTCTAGCTCCTTTTCTTTTTCAAGAATTTTTTATCTCTGGAATCAATGGGCCTCCCACATTTTATATGTGGTTTAGAATCATTTGCAATAATAGGCTGTCCAACTAGGACATTAATTCTACTTAGAGCATTAACAGCTAGAATATGTGATTTAGTTACTTTCTTTAGGTCAGTAAATGTATCTAGTAATTGATTTGCTAAATTTTATAAATGAATTATCTTTTGAACTTCTAGTTCTTATTACTTTGTACGAGGATCAAGATTAGATAATGATAATTCATTCCAACTAATTTCTTTTTCCAACTACTTATTTTCTTCCCTTAATGGTTGGAAAACTAATTCATCAAAATGACAATCAACAAATCGAGTAGTAAATAAATCTCCTATTGATGGTTCTAAATATTTAATTATAGATGGAGATTCATACCTAACATATATTCTCATTCTTCTTTGAGGAACCATCTTAGTACGTTGTGGTGGAGAAATTAGAACATATACTGTACATTCAGAAATTCTTCAATGGGAAATATTAGGTTCCTAACCAAAAAAGTAATTCTAAAGGGGAGCTCTTAAGATAACTTATTGGCCTGATACGAATTAATAATACTGCATGTAAAATTGCATACCCCCAAGTAAAAATTAGGAGATTCAAGCACATAAGTAATGGTTGTGCAATCAATTGTAAGCATTTAATTAGTGATTTTGCAAGTCCATTTTGTGCATGAACATGTACTACAGGATGTTCAACATCAATTCCAAGAGACATGCAATATTCATTAAAAACTTGTAAAGTAAATTCACCAGCATTATCTAAACATATTTTCTTAATAGGATAATTAGGAAAGTGTGCTCTTAATCTAATAAGTTGAGTAAGCAATCTCACAAATGCCAGGTTACGAGAAGATAACAAGCAAACATGCGACCATTTCATTGATGTATCAATTAAAACTATGAAGTACTTAAATGGTCTGCATGATGGGTGTATAAGCCCATAAATATCACCTTGTATGTGTTCTAGAAATGTGAGAGACTCACTTTCTATTTTTGTTGGTGATGGTCAAATAATTAACTTTCCTTTAAAACATACAGCACATGAAAAATCATGGGATTGTAGAATCTATTGACCTTTTAATGAATGTCCACATGATTTTTTGATTATCTTTCACATCATAATTGACTCAAGATGGCCTAACCGATCATGCCAAATATTGAATTTATTGTCATTTGTAAACTTCTGATTTACAATAGCATGTATTTCAATTGTATTAATAAATGTGTAATACAAGCCAAAGGAAAAGGTAAGTAATTTTTCTATTGTGCACTTTTTACTTGAAATTAAATTCGTGATAATAAGATATTCTTTATTTTCTTCATTTATTATCTCAATATGTTATCTACTTTTGTCGATATCCTTAAAACTCAATAAATTTCTACTAGACTTAGTAAAATCAAATGCATTATCAATGTGTAATTTAATTCCTTCAGGCAACAATATATTAACTCTTACAGAGCTATCAATCATATTTATACTTCCAAATATAGTTGGAACATTGGCTTATTGCATTACCAAAGAAGAAAAACATTTTTTATTTTTGAGTATTATACGAGTTATTGCACTATCAACAAGACACATATCTTTATTATTGTCGTTAGTACCAATCCAATGAATACTCATTCTTCATTAAAAAAACATAAAAATATATAATTAAAATATGGAATACAAAAACTTTATTCATTGAAAAACAACAATATCGTAAGTAAATTATCTAAAAAACATTATAAGTAAATTATTTATTCCAATGCAAGAAAATTAAAATGACACTTAACTATAAAATTTAACAACATCGATATCTAAGAAATTTATCTCTGGACATTTCCATCCCCAATCAGGTGATCAATTCTTTCATTAGGATTGGCAAAGAAATTAGAAACATCCAAATGAGTAATATCCATATCACCATAATCAGAATCACCTTCTTCAAAAGCAAAATGTGTTTCTATCTTTACCTCTTTGTTTTGACTTTTACTTTTAAGCGATTCTTGGTAAAGACCAATCAAATATTTTGGAGTGTGATAGATACATAACCAATGACTTTTACCAACACAACGATAACCCAAATTTTTAATAATAATAATAATAATAATAATATTATTATTATTATTATTATTATTATTATTATTATTATTCATCCCCACTTGTTCCTTTCTTGTATTTCTCGTCATTGTTTGTCCACTTCTAGTGGAAAGATGTACTATAATGACCACGACCTCGTCCATGGCTATGGCCACAACCATGGCCATAACTTTGAGCTAATTTATTTGGCACTATATTCACTTCAGGGAATAGGGTAGAACTAGTTAGACAAGATTCATAATTTTTTTATCAAAAACTTGTTATTTTATTCAGTCACAAGAAAACAAAAAATCAATTTAGAATATTTTTTAAACCTTTTTCACAATATTGCTACTACAAGAGCACGTTAGATTCATGAAATGTGGAGAATTTTTTTTTCTAACATATCATTAGTAATTTTTTCTCCACATAATTTCAATTGAGAATTAATTCTAAAAATTGCAAAGTTATATTCACTCACAAATTTAAAATCTTGTAAATGTAAATACATCCAATTATAATGAGCTTTCAGAAGAATTATAGTTTTTTAATGGTCATACATTTCTTTTAAACTGTTTCAAAGAATAAGGGGGTCTTTTATAGTCAAATACTCAATTTTCAACCCTTTATGTAAATGCTGACAAAGAAAGATCATGGTCTTGACCTTATTTTGATTGGATGCTTGAGTACCATCATTGACTGTGCCTCCAAGACCATTGGATCTAGATGGATTTCTGCATCTAATACCCAAGATAGATAATTTTGCCCAGTAATGTCAAGAGCCACAAACTCAAGTTTTGAAAGATTTGACATATAGATACTATAATAAAAATATGATAAGAGTTAGATGATATTCAATATTAAACAAGATTAAAAGGGTCAAATTGTTAGAAAATAGATCAAATTATATATGAACATAAAAATTACCTTGCAATGAGAAACCTTGCTACAAAACCTTTAGATTACCAAAGCTCTCATGCTGATAACGTGTTATAAAATTAAGCAACTAGAAAATAAAGATATTGGGAGAAGAAGTAGAGACAAGAAAATGAGAGAATTTCTTATGGATTATTGTGTCCTTCAATACAAATTACATGTCTATTTATAGGCATAGTCTTACATATAAAATGTTACACAAATGATAAAAACAAATAAAGGGTAATCAATTTTCATGATGATGGGAGTTTCATAAGGGGGCAATCAACTCTCATGATGGTGGGAGTTTCATGGGAACAGATGAAGAGATGATGAAGATAGACATTCACTTTCCTTGTGATATTCATAACAACCATAATTATCATAATAAATAGGAAAATTAATCTCCAAATCCTTATAGTTTTGCTCAATTTTAAGTTAAGTTCTTATAGTTTATTTTATTTTTAATCAAGCCCTTAAAATTTAAGGTTAAAATTAATAATAAATTATTAAATTTTATAAAATAAAAATATTCTTGAAATTTACAGAAAATTTAATTTAATACTTTTAGCCAAAATAAAAACAATTGATTTAATACATTGTTTATATTTTTCATTAAATTTTAATAAAAATTTTATAAAAAAATTAATTAAATAAATTTTGAATTAAAAAATTATGTAATTAATTTTAAAATTATATAATCTTTTAATAAAAATATAGACGTTCTTACTTTTATTTTTTTTAAGGAAAAATTTAAGGCCCCCCTTCCTTATGGGAAATAATTAGTTAGGATAATAAAAAATTTTAAGAATTTTAATTTTTAGGTTTAAGAAATTTAATTAATCAAATTATAAATATGTAAAATAAATTATAAAAATTTAATTTAAAATTGAGTAAAAATGCAACGGCATATTTTCCCTCGGAAATATAACGAACGTCCTATCGTTTCATTTCCTCCCAAGTTTCTTCGTTGCGCTGTTCGTTTTCCCGCTCATTCTTCGTTTTCTTGTACTCCAAGATATCGTCTTCCTCATCCTCTTCTTCCACAAAGATACGAAACACAAGGTTCTTGGTTTACCTCTCTACATTGCGCTTCGATTTTTCCCTTTCTCTCATTGATTCTTGAGTTTATTGCTTCTCTTCATTCTCTTAGCTGATGAAGTCTTGTGGCGATCTTGATGTGCACATTCTCCGTCGGATTTCCTCAGAAATATTGGGTTTGAAGAGCCATGGCTGTTGCGCCCTACGGAAAACTCGACTTAACTCATTTGCCTCCAGGAGCCAAGACCATGGATAGCTACGAGAAGTTGAACCAAATTGGCGAGGGCACTTACGGGTCTGTTACTTGCTTTATATTAAAATGCTCTTTCACTTTCTGATATCTTCATACTTCAGAGTTTGATTCTTTTCATTTTAGCATAAATAGTCCATATTGGTTAAACATGGAGCTAGCAGAAATTTTATCACTCACCTATATGTTGCTCCTTGTAGACCTGGTAATCTTTGGCCTCCGCATATTAAATGATGAATTTTCTGTTTAAGGAGTTCATGTACATAAAGTTGAATGCGTTGGCCGATTAATGAATTTGTTGGCTGGCTTGGACGGACCAAATTGAGGTGTTTTCTTTTGATTTGAAGAATGTTAGCGTTCGAAAAATTTGCATCTCTGTGGATACTATTAATACCATGTATCATATTCCTATGGAGGAAGGGACAGTGAGATTATTTGTCTATTTGCTGTGTTCAAAAATAGAAAAGTAAAAATTTGCATGCACTTCATCATCATTTTCGATTAAATGTTAAGAAGAAGACTGATCTATACATTAATCTTTTGCTTATAGTCGAGTTTTCAAAGCTAGAGATAAAGAAACTGGTGATTTGGTTGCTCTGAAGAAAATTCGGAAGGAAACTACTGAAACAGACGAGGGGGTATTTCTTTGATCACCTTACAAAACATTTCTTCATTTTGTGACTTCTTGTCTGTTCCTGTTGCAGTTCCCTACTACTGCTATACGTGAAATCAAAATTCTGGGTGAATTAAAACATGAAAATGTGATCAAGCTAAAAGAAACTGTGATGTCACCAGGTATATTTTACAAACGGCTGGTGCCTTGGGATGATTTTCCACTACATTCCTAATATTTCTGGTCTATGATTTTCAGGGCCTGAGAGAGACAAGCCAGGTAAGATTTTCATTTTCACAGTGGATGTTATCATTATCTATATAGTGAGAACCAAACTTCATAACCTGCTTTATGATTCTGCTTTTGGGAAAATAGTTCCATTAATCCCTTTGGATTCCTATGATCTTATGGTTTCTTCATAGAAAGAATTACATCTATGTCTTACATAAAAAAAATTAATTACTACTATAATATCCATTGACAACTAAACGAAAGCCATTAACAACACAATCAGTTGTCAATGGCCTTAATTCAATTGTTAATGAACCTTATAATAATTAATTTTTTCGTATGGCACTTCAATCTAATTCTCCCTTCTTCATATGTTTCTCTGTTCCTTTTTTCCGGGGCATTGCAGACGGTAACAAGTATGAAGGGAGCATCTATATGGTCTTTGAATATATGGAACATGATCTAGCAGGCCTTCTTAAACGACCAGGGATGAACTTGACGTCTTCCCAAATTAAGGTATTACTATAAATTGTGCAAGTGATATCTCATTTATCAGTAGTGGTTTTATTTTTATTGTTCTCTGAGTAAGCTTTTTCCTGGCAGTGTTGCATGAAACAGCTTCTGCTGGCGCTTCACTTTTGCCATGCAAATAATGTACTTCATCGTGACGTCAAAAGTCAGTTGTGACAATCATATTAATTAAATATATATAAATCTTGCTGTTGCGTCTTTTGTACAAATTTGTTTTTCATGTATTTTGTTCTGTTGCAGCTGCTAATATTCTGATGAACAATGAAGGAGTCCTGAAACTTGCTGATTTTGGACTGGCAAAGAAATCTTCTGATTCAGAGCATACAAATCCGGTCGTTACATTATGGTACAGGTTAGTGATCTCACTGTTGTCATGGCACCTGTGTTGGCTTTTAATTAAAAAAAAAAAAATCGGCATGCCTTTCTGTTGATGATCTCATTCTATTTGAAGAAGGCCCCCAGAGTTGCTGCTAGGGGCAACAAAGTATGGACCGGCTGTTGATATTTGGTCTGCTGGGTGTCTTTTTGCTGCGCTTCTTAATGGGAATGGGAAGTGTATGTTCCGTGGAAAAACTGAGGTGAGTGACATTTCTATATTTGAAGGTTAATGTGATATGCATTCTCATAATTAGTTGTGAACTGATTAGTGTGAATGATATAACTTCAAGAAATGGTAGGCAAACAGGCTATATTGCTTTCTGGTTCATACTCAGTCCTGAAATACTAAGTTTTATCTTTCATGTGCTGATTACGAACAATCTTCATGCCCTCCATCTAATAAGTGACATCTCTGCTTTCATCAAAACGGCTTCAGATAATGGCTTACAGTCACTGATGCTTGTTTCCTTCGTAACTTGATGGTAATTATTTCTCGTGTAGATGAAGTGCATAATGCATGTTTCCTTAATATCGTAGGCAGACACTCTGGGTCAAATTTGTGATCTCTGCGGAAAACCAAATGAGACAAACTGGCCTGGGGTTTCTAATCTACCTTACTATTATACATTGCCACTAAGACCAATGCAAAGACGCCTTAGGGAAGTTTACGCACAGTAAGTATCACAGTTTGACCACCAGTAAGTAATAATAATGCTTGGTGTTTCTTTATGGATCTAAACAGTTGTTCTTTGTATTACTTTAGTTTTGGCAAAGAAGCTCTTGACTTGTTGGACAGGATGTTGACGCTTAATCCTGATAAGGTATCTTCCATCACTTAGTTATCCAACATGCTATTGCAAGATGAAGAATTAATGGGCAATATAATTAGATTTGTTTTGGTACTAACTTTACAGAGGATCGATGCTTCTAATGCTCTTGATTCTGACTATTTCTGGACTGATCCGTTGCCCTGTGATCCCAACAGGTATTATGGCTTTCTTTCCTGTAAATTTCTCATGACTTTTCATGCATTTGTCCCTTCCCTTCCTCCCTCATTCAAGTCACAAACTTCCGTGTGTGTGTAGTATGCCCAAGTACAAGGAATCACATTACTACGAGGTGAGGCAAAAAATAAAGAGCCTGAAAGAAATGCTGTCTGAAAAAACTCCCAGTCATCTGTTGATGCCACCTCCAAAGATGTCTTACAGCTCTCAAGCGGGGTCTAGCGGCTGTCAACCTCATCTCAGTGGACCACATCCTCCTCCTCCTTTTCAAGGGGGGCCTAGTGTCGGTTCTCATGGTGGATGTGGTAGTGGCCGTGGCTATGAAGTTGGAGCTCCATATTATCCTCAAGGATATGGACCATCATCTCATGGGTCTAGGCCTCATGGTGCAGGTGCCAGTGGCAGTGGCTGTGGAGGCCGAACTCCAAATTATCCTCAAGGATACGGATCATCATTTCATGGGTCTATGTCTCATGGTGCAGGTGCCAGTGGCAGTGGCTGTGGAGGCGGAACTCCAAATTTTCCTCAAGGATACGGATCATCATTTCATGGGTCTATGTCTCATGATGCAGGTGCCAGTAGCAGTGGCTATGGAGGTAGAGCTCCAAATTATCCTCAAGGACATGGATCATCATTTCATGCGTCTTGGTCTCACGGTGCAGGTGCCAGCAGCAGTGGTTATGGAGGTAGAGCTCCAAATTATCCTCCAGGACATGGATCATCATTTCATGGGTCTAGGTCTCGTGGTGCAGGTGCCAGTGGCAGTGGCTATGGAGGTAGACCTCCAAATTATCCTCCAGGACATGCATCATCATTTCATGGGTCTAGAGATCTAGAACATGGATCATCATCTCATGGTGCAGGTGCTAGTAGCAGTGGCTATAGGGGTAGAATTCCAGATTATCCTCAAGGATATGGATCATCATCTCATGGGTCTTGGTCTCGTGGTGCCAGTGCCGGTAGCCGTGGCTATGGAGGTAGAGCTGCTAGTCATCACCGTGGTGGTTCTTCCAGTTCTAGGTAAACAGAAAATCAATAGTGGCACTTCTTTGACTTGTTGATGTTCAGCTGAGGAAGCAGTGTAATAGGATAGGCATATTCTTTTGTTGTTACGGAGAAAATGAAATTGTAGATTGTTACTGAGGAAAGTTTTGTACAATGTCACAATAAAATACAAATTTTAGAGTTTCTCAATATGTAAGATACTGAGATAGATATGGTTGGATGAGGAGAGAACTCTTTTGTCGCTGATCCATTTTTAAACATCTGATTTTCAGCAGTGTTCTCTCTGCTTACACTTTTTTCTCTAGGCTACTCACTACTTATCCTTTATGGGCTATGATTATTCCCGCTGGCTCACACGTAACAGTTCCTGGGGAATTACATACTACCCCAAAAAAGCCTAATTACATTTCTCGGATAGGAAACAAGATCATACAGAAATTAATTATTCACAAGTCAAACTCAATATGCCCAGAATTACACATACACGCAAACTTGGCAACTGTTACCTTTAAGAAAACGGAAAAAACAAAGTCATTCCTGTAACCTATTTTCTATTATGCTATGCATCCCCTGAACTAAACTCTGTTTCAAGAATCCACAAAAGCAGCTTCTAGTCAGCGTGTGTTTCTCATTGACTTTTTGGAATGATGAGTATGCTTGATCATATTGTTCCCAGGCCCAGATTTTGGTGGGGTCCTTGGGATTGTTGTGTTCGAGGAATGGAGTTCTTCCAGTGTGGCTAGAACATGTATCATGGGTGGTCTGTATTTTGGATCTGCACTTAGGCATTGATATGCAAGTGCAGCTGCAGCTTGAGCTCCTTTTTTAGAGTACTGACCACCTAACCTCAAATCCACGACTCTCGAAATCCGCTTGCTGTCTTTGAGAAATGGCATTGCCCAATCGACCAGAGTTTCTCGATCATTTCCAGGCTTGTCAACCTCTACCACTCTTCTCCCTGTCAGTAACTCTAACATGACAACACCGAAGCTGTATACATCGCTCCTTGCAGTCAAGTGACCTATTAAATAAAAGCAAAAATGGCTCATCAACTTTTTTTAATGTAACAGCTTCTTCAACTTTATTTATACATATAAATGATGCTGAGTTGTGGATGAGAGCTACAAAAAACAACTGATATTGCCGGTTTCACACCAATGGCCAGTGGTTAATGAGGAGTAACTAGTCAATGTAAAGATGCCTTCCCCACTCAAAACATTTCACCTTTAATCAATGTACAAGCAAGCAAACCACAGATGCCTTTGGGACATGCAAGAAGTCACCTTTAATCAAACAAGTAAAGATTGAAATTTCAAGAAATACATCAAACTTAATCAAGTATAGATGATGTTACTAAATCTTTGGTAAATCCAATCCATGTATATACTTAGGTGCAACTTGTTGAAATACTTTTGTCTAATTCAACTCTTCAAAACTGTTATATTAAAAAATAAGGTTTCTTAATTAAGATATATTATTTTGACATCCTGCCCTAAATAGAAACATATTTGAATAAGCTGCTCTTCATTGGAATTTTCTTTATTTTTTAATTGTTAGAAATTGAAACCGCCCCCCAAAAAAAAATCATGATTTTACGCAATTGCATTTTGAATTTTGATTTCAAAACAAAAATTTATGACAATTTGATAGGAACAGCTTTGACACATGATGAAAAGCGGATTAAATGCCAAAATTAAAACCAGAGATTCATAGTTGAAATTTGGTTGTTTGCAATTAGGCTGAAAAAACACTAACAAAGCACAAGTGTTCGTTATTATTGGGACAGGGTATCATATCTTCTCCTTGCTTTTGTTCTCTTTAAATGGTATTTCGTCTCTCCTGCTTCCATAACCAATAACCATTGACTTCTCCAAAACGTGACAATCTAACAACTTCTCAAGAGAAATAACTCAGATGTGATAGAGCTGAATCTACCTGTAGCTACATACTCTGGTGCAGCATAACCTTTAGTTCCAATAATTCTGGTTGAAACATGAGTGTTATCTCCAGTAGGACCATCTCTTGCCAGGCCAAAATCTGAAAGCTTTGCGTTGAAGTCCTGAATAAGTTTTGCATAAAGTCCTTCAGAATGGAGGGTTCCATGTAAAACTGATGTAGTTATTACAGATTTCCAAGAAAATAAATAAATAAATAAAATATAAACAATAAAAGTGTGCTACATATTATACCGAATCAAGTAATACATTAGAAGCCTTTAAGTCCCGGTAGATAACATTTGCATCTAAGGTATGCAAAAATGCTAATCCTTTAGCAACGCCAACTGCAATATTGATTCGTGCAGCCCAGGATATGGGCTGAACACCTTCTGCAGAGAGAAAAGTAAATTTGAGGTATCATGAGTTAAATGACATTATGGCTCAGTTCAAAGGCAATAGGTAGCACTCTTGTAATCAATGGATTGATTTTGTTAAAGATATGGCTTAAATATCATTTTATGCTATATTTAGACTAGAGATGACAATTAAAATACGGCCTTCAGAAATACGGAGAAAGGAAAACATGAAAATCTTCAAGTTCTGCCATCATTAACAGTCATTGAAAATCATCTTCATGAGCATGCCTTCAAAATCGATTTTAGGGAAAATATTCTTAATTTCTCAGGACCACATTCTGCCATTTTGCAAATATTTTTATGAATGCATAATGGATAAAAAAATATTCCACTCATCACCACAGAATTGTCACCATTATTCTGGACTTGTCCCTGATATCCACGCCTTCCAAGATATTTAACTCTACAAGGAGCACAGTCTCCGGTACATATCAAGCTTATCATAGTAATAATCTTTTGAAAGCTTGAAAAGCATTAAACTACAAATATTCTTGAAATTAGTGTCGTTTGTTATGTAATCCATTCATGATTTCTTTATCCTTAGTCTTTGCTTTCGGTGAATTAATCAATTCAAATATCATGATTCAAAAACCAAATTGGTACATATCATTATAGAAATACAAGTTTCACGTTCATGTAATGCATTCACAATTGTGGCTTTATTATGATTAAAAAAAGTCTTCTTCTTCTTCTTGTGGAAAGCTATGGTGAATAGTTTCGTTAATATTGGGAATCAAAAAGTCAGAGCAGAATGAGAAACTACTTACTTCTGAATAAATGATTCTCCAAACTTCCTTTCTGCATGAACTCATAAACTAGAAGCCTGTTTTTACCATCTGAGCAATAACCAATAAGTTTGACCAAATTTTCATGGTGAAGTTGGCCTAGATAATTGACTTCTGCCTGCCCAAAAAAAAATGGCAAGTCAGTCAACACCTAGCAAGAGACAGTGAAATTAGCAAGTAGCTTGATTCAAAGGTCTTTGTTACATACAAGCCATTCCTTGTGGCCTTGGAAGCTTTCTGGCTTAAGTTTCTTAATGGCCACCATGATTCCACTCCCTGGTCTTGCAGGAGCAAATGAGTTCTCATTAATCCATCCCTTGTAAACATACCCAAAGCCCCCCTCCCCAATTAAATTTTCCATTCTGAAATTTTTTGTGGCTTCTTTAGATCATTGAAGCTGAAGGATTTGAGACTGGAAGAGATGGATCTGTTGATGGTTGGTTCTAAAGTTTGTAATGCAACTTTTCGTTCTGAAGAATTTGACTTCTTACTTATCTCACTTTGAGACTTCGCCTTTCCTGATAATAAATGAGAAACAGGTTAAAAGCAACCATGAGATTAATCTATCAAATCATAACCACTTCGCTGTGTCACTCCACAAAGTCAATAGTACCAAAATAGAGTGCAATCATATGTAATGATTCAGAGCCCCAATGTGATTCTGTCCTAGTCGATATCCAATATTTGCATGTTTGTGAGTATCTTGAATCATTGTGATTTCCTTGGCTTGTGATCATGGAAAATAAAAGAGCAGTTGAAGTTTGCATCATGATTTACTTGTTAAACTATAACTTCTGATGTTCTATGGCATAACGGATCTGGCTTGGTTGGTAGATTTATGCATGCGCTTATTTGAGTATGTATGCAAGGATCTTTGACCCAGACAACTCAAATGAGACGATAAAAAGCATTCAAAAAAATATAAGTTTAAGGTTTCCTCAGAAGAAAAGGTAGAAAAATTATTTTTGGGCAAAAAAAAAAAACAATTATGTGGACCAAAACAACCAAACTCCATGCAAAGCCAGGAAACCAAGGAAGATACATGTAAATACGCCTTCAGAGGAATGTGATCATCAAAATTCAAAGCAGCATCAGCAAAATAGAACAACAGAAGAAAAATAAATCAACGAAGGGCAAATAAGGCACCAAAAGAGGAAGATAATGCATTCAGAAATCATAACTAATGGCAGATACTGACCAGAAATGTTAGAGGAAGACACATGAACAACGGGTTTCCTACAGGAATTTCCCATAGCGAAGAAAAGATTCTCTCGTTAGACCAAAGCGTGAGTGAAGAAGGAAAGTTACAGAAGGAAGCGAGTAGGTTGTGGGGTTTTAAGGAGGACAAGGATGCTGAAGGAAGGGCCATTGATGTGGATTGCTATGAAACAGCAAAGGAAGAAGTAAAACAGCGTAGTCAATGGGGCAAATAAGCACAGGTTGAAACTTGAAGAGGGAAATTTCAAATTTACGGATTTTTTTAAAGAAAGATCATACCTTTCTTTTTCGGTCGGTCACTCCAAGACACCAGCCAAGGGCTAAACTTTATACACACAAAAACGAAAGAGGCTATGCATGGTCCTACCAGACTCGGTTTAATTTGTGGGTCATCCATTGACCCTGCTTCAGGCCGTTTCATATGATTATTCTATTTCGATTTTTGGAAGGGGCAAAGTCACAGAGAGAGAGATAGAGCTTTTATTTTTGGCAGATATTGGAAAGAGTCTACTCTACCTTGTTTAGTACTTTCTATTTAGATTTTATTCACCGACTCGCCATCAATAGGAGCAACAGGGTAGGCAAGCAAATATATTAGACTCCCTACATCATACCTTTAAGAATGATTCTTTATTCTTTATAAAATATAAGAAAAAGTATTTATTATTATTTTTTTATTTTATCTTTATTATTTATGACTCATGATATATTGTATATCTCTTTTTTCTTAGGATAAAGCTAGAAATTTTTTTTTATTTTAAGATACATCTAATTTTTTATTATAATAAAATAGTTAAAAGTGTCTTATAATAATAATCAATTACAACTCAAATATTTTACAATATAATTAAATATTACAATGTTTATAAACAACTTATAAGAGAAAAATGATAACTAAAAATAGCT